CTGCACTCTCCAGTAGGAAGTCCTTAACATCAAGTGGACATCCTACTATTTATGAAAGCCCTATAATATGCCCTTTGGAAATGATATAACTGCCCACTAAACTGCTACATGCACTCTGTAAAAGGATAGCACACCTATTGAGTTACATGCATGCATTGGCGTTGCCTTAGTTACTTCATTTTCGTTAGCGTATTTCATGTAAAATAACAGTAGTGTTAGTTTCAAGATCACTGCCACAAGCGCAAAGCCTTTTTCCTCTCTACCCCGCGGGCCAGGGCTTTTGTCCAAATTCTAGTGGAAGTTTATACAAATCATTACGCAAATAAATAGAACCATGAGTCACTGTGACCTTTCTGTACACTCGCGTGTTGGCTTCTTAGGAAAAAAAACAGCACATGGAGTGCTGCAGTCGGCATTTAGGCAGAGCGAAAGAAAGCGAAGCTTTTGCGGGCGTACACGTTTTCGATTGACTTTCTATCGAACCCTATGAACCAAATGACGGCGTAATCTAGAACCCTATAGTTGCCATTATCAATAAGAGTATTTTATTAAATAAATGAATGGTTGTATGCTGAATCGATAGCAATGTTTGATTATTTCACTGTATGAAAATTTTATTAGAGATTCGATTTGAACCGGAAGTATGTATCATTACATAAAGCATTTAATGAGAGAAGGGGGGGGTGAGGAGGGATCGAATTTCAAAGATTTTGCGGAAATTTTTAATACGTCGACTTCCCAACTGCGTCAATCTGTCTTGAAGACCTGCGTAGATTTGGATGCTAGAAACGTTCAATTCTTTTGAAAGTCAAGCAATGAGTATATATTTAAATTAAGTGCTTGAAAAAATCTGTGCATTATTCAATATTCAAAGAAGACTTTGCCCAACGTTTATCACTGACACTACCATCAACTTCTATCGAGTAGCCACTAAAACTGCATGGAAATCTAACCCAAGGTGATATCTAAGGTCTATTGCCTAAACACCAAGGAATTCTTTAGTATCACTGGCCTCTCTCGGTCACAATAATAAACAGTGTTGATTCTCAATGATTATTATTATTATAATATCAAATGGCAGGCGTTTTAATCATTTTTATTATTATATCAAATGGCAGGCGCTTTGATTTTTGACTTCAGTCTTCACAGAGGGGAAGGAACATCAAAGTGAAAAAAGTGGAGAGGGGGGGGGCAACAGAAGAGTGTATCTAAGACGAAGGTAGATAAGGTGGAAAAAAGGTGGGATGAGTACTGTGAAAGTAGTCGGATTTGACATACGGTGGGGTCATGGTAGTTTGAAGTCAACTGCCAGGTAATAGACTTTTCGGCGTATGAGTATACGTTGCCCAGGGTGCACCACGTGGAGGTAAGTCTATCACACACCTGATTCTCATTGATAAAAGAGTGAGTTCCTAATTTTTTAGAATTTTTAAGACTACCAAGTGTATGCGATGAGTCATACAAATTAATAAATTTAGAGTACAGGTATGCATCTAAGATTCTGATCCAGACACTGTCTTTGCAATGGACTACTGATTACTTGTTAGTGTCATTTCTACGTTCATTTATTTTCCTAGCTATACTTAGAAAGCAAACGAGCTGAGATGCTCTATCACTATGTGCACCGTAAATCCACTGCGCCTATCTGTTTTTTTCGCATGAGAAAAATTTGCTTGTAGAACGAAGGTGGACCGAAAAAGAGGTCATTTAAATTGAGGTCAGGAATTCCAGATTCAGTGGGTAGTCGTATGATTCAAACCACATCAAAGTCCCCAAATGCACTTCCACCTACTTTTTTTCTTTATAGGTACCAAGATCTGTTAAATTAAAAATAGTTTGCATAAGCTCTGCATTAGTTGGTTTGCCACAATGTCAATCACGTTGCATTTGGAGTGGGCGAGAATTAGAAAGTGAGAGAAAATGAACTACCTGCTGAAGGAAATGAAAGCTTTACATGAACTTTAGAACATGAGCATTAGCTCAGAGCATCTTGGATAGACTTCCACTGAACCTAATTATGCCAGTAAATATTTCTAACGTGGTACAATAATGAAGGCAAGTACTCTGTTGGCATGTTTTCACGCATACAGTTGGCTCTTCTTAAGTGAAGGAAGAGACCTAGCACCAACGAAATCGTCATATTTGCTCAAGTAGACAAAGCAAAAGAATTAGAATTGAAAGGCCAAAGTGCCCTGTATGCGCCCCAATCAAACTGAGATCAATTGCACCGACTGCAAAAAACGAGTCATCAATACAACCAAAGGCACTTGTGACCAACAGAAAACCGAAAGAATACCATGATGGATTGAGCTGTCTTTAGATACGGGAATTGAAGTAATGAAATTGAAATAGAAGTAACGAAGTCCCAGTTGTGCTCAAGTGTTTTGGTAGAGGTTTGACATAAAGAATTGAAAGGATTTCAAAAAAACTCAGAACGGATAAAGTATCAGAGAGATTTGTGGACGCGTAGGCTTAAAGCACTGAATGCTTAATATTCAGTTAGGCATACAGCTTATAAGTCTATCCATCACCATAAACCAAATCAATCGCATTCACGACAGTGGTTCATAGCAGCCGACTAAAACTTGAATTAGTGGAAGCCCTTAAGTGGCCGAAATTTTGGAGAAAAACATTCACCAAGTTCCACTTTCTGAGATAACCAATCCTAAGGGACGACATTAGGTCCACCAGGTCGGTTAGATTCAAAAAGTGAAAGAAAAGACCCGATCACTTCGAATCCGTCGTTAATTTTGTCGATGATAGCAGCCAAGCAGACTTTTAGTTCCATCTGTGCCTGTCACGTCCTCTTCAAAGTCAATGTATTATCATGGTTCTGTTTCGTGACTTTCTATAGTACTGAAAATAACGTGACCTGAGTAATTTTCAGTAAATCAAACTGTAGTTTCTAATTACGAGTGGTCAAACTTGTTGTTAATAATGCAAGTCCACTGAAACCAGTAATCACAAAACTATCTCATTAAAGACCAAATATTAGGCTTCAGTGTGGTTGTTAAGAAACCAGTATAAAGTAGTAAAGGGACCTGTTTGAGGTGCCTAATTGGTTAAGCTTCTATTTGGAGTAAGGAAAGGAGAGATCTAGCTTTAACGCCGAATACAACTGACTGCTACAAGCCCTTTAATCGGCTAAATATTCGCTGAATTCATGATGAATTGCTATTCAAAAGCTTGTCTATGTGAACATAATTCTCACAACTCCTAGAGGTGATCTTTCTAACACAATACAACTACGAAAATGAGAACATTAGTTCAGTCACTTAGTATAAAGTAATATAATATCTGAGAGCCTCTCTATTTCATATGAATTAAATCATTTGGTAATTGTGGCCTTAGGATAGCCCCATTAAGTTTGGTTAGGATGCGAGTACTCCCACAAAAGAATTGAACTTTGGGATGTACTCAGACAGAACACGGTAAAGTGCATAGTAAACTAAGACTTTCCCTCGTTTAAAAATACAAGAACCCTATTCACCAAAATGCATAAAATAGTATGCATACACATTAGAGTCCGAAACTTTGTTTATTGGTGATTATCAAAACAATTGAGCAATAAATGGCCATCCCCTTTCTTGAGGATTATTTTGATTTAATATACATTGTATTAGACGATATTGGGCACACATTTTCGTCCGCTAAAGTTAAATGCTATTGAAAAAAATAGAGAGCTGGTGTAATTTGGCATCAAGATGCTTTTCAGACAGCAGACACGAAATGTATTTAATAGATTATAAATGACAAGAGAAATCTGAAAGCGAAAATTGTGAGCCATGTGTGTGTGAAGTTCTCTCAGCTAAATGGAACGAATATCAAATTGAATCGGAAAAAATAGGTTCAATGTAAGTCGACATCAAGTAACATTCTAACCAATATCTGTTATATCGTTCAGATAACGTAATCAGAAAGGCACTGATCATCCATTTAAGAATCACAGTTGCTGTCTCGCTTCAACAGTCATTTGCCATATTAAGTCAACTTCCACCATTGCCACTAATATTAGCATGCTATGCTATAACAAATTTGGCAAAAGAAAGCGGTTATATTAGAACGGGATATCTAAACACCTTGTTGCTGCATAGTCAGCAATCAGCTATATTTGCATACTACTACTTCTCTTAATACCCGTACTTACCGCAACACGCGTGGACCAACCTCCGCATCGTTAATTTGATCCAAGAGATCTGAAATATTTCAATAATTTTGCTACTGATTCAAACGACTTCTTGAGCTTTATACCAGTTCGCCCACGACAGTAAAAAAGTAAAACGAATCTATAGCGGTGCCGCTACTTTTTATTACCTGTACTAATATCTTGAAACCGGAGACAACAGCAAGCTGGAGTAACAGATACTCATCCGATTTCTACAATATCGCCTTCCGCTACACTGAGACACAGAATGGCAAAGGAACCCAATCTTTCTACAATACATAAGGTACCAGGAAGTATTGCGAAGACAAATCCAAGTGACCTTCGAAATCAGAAAGCTCCACTTTACGCCACTATAACTAACCCAAAACAACCAAGTTGTAATGACAATACAGCTAACAAGGAGAATAATTCACCCCTGAGATTGACAAATAAATGAGGAAAAAGGCAAAGGCATAATTCAAAGCTCTTGTCTTTATTGCCTATGGAGTAAGTTAGCAAAAAAGAACGCGTGAATGAATAAAATGGTGGTAAGACGTCGGTCGAATAGTCAATTAGGAGGGGAAACAGTACTGACAGATGGTCAGAAGGCACTCAAATGAAGAATATACTGGTGAGTTTGTCAAGTAATTACAATGGCTCATTCCATAGGAAAAATAATGTTCAATTCTCTTCATATGAGAGGGAAGGGGAGTTGAGAATAGGGGGATAAAAGTCTGGATCGATTTTGTACAATATGGTTGAAATGGCGCCAACAAAAGCAAATCAGTTAAATGAAGCAAGAACAAAGAAGCAGCAAAAGAGAAAACAAGTAAATCGTACCTCACGCGTCAATTTTTCAATCATTGGCTCCAGTCAATTTGTGAAAGAGTCGCTCATCCAATTTTTGGTTTTTCTCGGGATTTCGTTGACTGAGAAACACATAGCCACCTATAAATTCCACAATGGTCTTGCAATTTGCTGTCAGAGGTTTAAAAGAGGTTTTTCCATTGCGAAAATCAAGAATAACCCTTCCATTGTCCCAGTTAACATTCCAACTGCGCAAATCAGCGAAATTCCATGCTAACTGGGTTTCCTCTGTTGATGAGGAAACAACTTCAATACGGCCCTGCCGAACAGCAATAACATCTTCAACGGGACCTGGATTTGAAAATATTCCACCGCTGGAATTACCCAAACCGAAGGGGTTTCCCTTATCAAACTGGACAACACAATATGAACGACCAAAATGATTCAACCTCTTCCACTCGTCAATGTAACGAAGTTTAGCATCTTGTAAAGATAAATCTCGAATACCAGCATGAGTTTCATTAATCCTCGACTTTAAGGATTCCTTACTTCGTGCCTTTTTAATGATCCTCTCAGCACAGAAGTCTGTTAAATCTCCGAGATGAACTGTCAGTTCCTCAGGGGATAATACAGGCGCTGCATGAGGGGCGGTCTGTTTTTCTAACGTTTCCTTGACTGTCTGGAACTCTTTGTCGAAAGCCGTTCCGTTCTCAAGATACTTTCCACGACAAGCTAAGCGGAATGCAGCAACCCACTTTGCGTATTGTTCCATTGAATTAAACCTCAACCAAACTTCCTCACGAGTGTGACTTTTGCGACTTGTTACAGGTGTAGAGGCGGAAGACGATGGTTGACTGACAACTAGTGATAACTTAACCGCAAAGCGAGCACTCTCTGGACTCAAGTCTGGAGTAATGAGACAATCTTTAAGATTATATGAAGCAGAAGGGGTATCAACACTATGGGGATCACGATAGAGAATGAAAGAGGATCCTTTCACAACTGCCCACATTTCTTTGTACCGTCTGAGCAGAAGACCCTTATCACGGAAGACTCTAATTGAGTCCTGGAGAATAGGAGGTGGTTTAGCGTCCACCATATCATGACCAGGACTACTGGACTTTCGTTGACCATTAGTTGAGACATTACAGGACTGTTCAAGCTCCGTCAGCATCAAATCAATCTCGTCCAACTCATTCAATGAATCCTCATTCAGTGCAAGATGACCATTGGAGCCAATAAATGGACTCAAAGGGCGACCCGAGACTGGGGTAACAGCTCCAAGACTCGGCATTCGCAAAAGGGAACCTCCAAATGACCTTGGAGTGGAGAGCTCCGGGCTCATAGGGCGGAAATTTGGATCAATAGGAGAAGTAAGAGTATTATACCCTCCAAGAGTGTTGTATCTAGCTATTGTGCCTCCAGGATACATAGTAGCGTTCGCCCTTAGAGCAGCTTCATTCTGAAGCTCAGCTTGAAGTTGATAAGCTGCGAAAACAATCATTTCGTCCTCCGTGCATTCTAAACATCCCGAGAGTAAAGACCATCGGGCTTGCTCATAAAGCTGATGAATTCTAACAGCATCATAGCTTGGATTAATGTCATAGAAACTGTAGAACTTGAAACGGAGATAAAGAGTTGGAGGTTTAGGAGGAACAGTAGGATATTCGCCTATCGGAATGATTGGTGGTTCAATACCATGCTCCATTAGAGATCTTGAAGAATCCAACCATCCACCATCCATACGTGCCTTCTGGTGGACATTTTTCGGTTTCAAAAGCCACCCTTCTCCAAAAGCAACTTTGGCACTCTTTCTCTGATTACAATCCATGAATTTGCTGACATCAATTCGTTCCTCATCTAGAGAATTATCTGACTGACCTCGTATCAAAGTGGCAGAACCATATGGGAGAGTGGGATAGGGATTTGGATTATTCAATCGATTGAGGGAAAAGGTTTTATTCACTCCATTACTATTAGTTGCTGCTGGTAATTCCGATCTAGCTGCACCAATAGCATTTAGAGGGCCAGTCCGTTTAACTCCATGTCGAATAATAGGAAGGGGTTGATTATACTTTACACTTTCCTTCGTGACGGGAAACATCAGGGAAAGTTCCTCAGGGTGACGAATACAGAATTCTTTACAGATTGCTTCAACAACAGAGAACACTCGACTAGCATAATTGACACGAAGAACCACAGTAGCAAGAGAAGGAAGAATGATCTGCAAGTTCCCATGAGTGTGGCGGAAAGCAAGTTGGGCATCAGACTGAACTCCGTATTGGTCAAGAGAGGTGCGAGTGTGGAGAAGCCACATATTACGTTGAGGCCACCAGATAGCATGATCTGACCAGGATTGTTTAACGTTAACAGCCTCAACAATCTGATGCATCAAGCCTCCAACACTTGTATCTCCACGAACGCGAACACAGACAATATCATTCACATCTTCAACATGAACGCATAATTCCCACGAACCATCCAAATAGGCACCGTCTACAACTAATCCATTAACTGCGCTCAGTCCATCGTAGGCTGGCTGATCATTAGAAGGATAGTGAGTTACATAATTCGTCATTTTGGAGGAGGGAAGAGAATGACACTTTGGATAGAAATTATGCCAGAAAAGCGATCCTGGCGGTAGATCCGCTATAAACCGGCTTACGGCGACACTCTTACGAAAATGAAGGCATGCGCGTGCGTAGGTAAAGTTGTATTGCCAATGTGCGCTCATTTGGCATAACGTACGCACGTGTGATCAGTGGCGATTGGTCAGCATTACCAGCGCATGTTTGATTGGTTGCTTTTGGTGTACGCACACACGCTATTAATTAACGTAGAGGTACAGTCATCGTATATACGCAAGTGCGATTTTGTGACTAACACTGAGTGCGTGCGTTTTAGCTCGCCATTGGTAGTGGAAACATTAAGGGCGTTGTCAAGGCAATGGGTAAAGCGGCCAGGCGCTAATTGGAAGTGTGTTGGACACTCGATCGTAAATTTCATTAGAAGTCGATGAATGTGTCGGAGGGCAAAGCGCGTTGTTTGGATCAAAATTAACTATTTTGCTTATGCGGATCTTGATCAATTCCGTATTCTTGTCAAACTGCTTCAATATAGTTGCTATTAAGAAACAATAAAGTGGAGTTGCTGTTTCAAACTGCTGTGGTTTAAAAGAAGTAGCTTTTTAAGATATTTCTTAAATTCTGAGTGCCGTAAAAGATGAACGAAGCTTTTGAAAAAAACGTGCTTAAGCGAAACTAATTTCAATTAATATTTTCAGGAAAACAAACGACATTAAATGATCTCAATTTTCGAGCAACTAACAACTTAATGCTAACGTGTTGTGACAAGATTTGGGAAACTGACCCAACCCAATAGAGGCTCACGCATGCACTCACCAGTCCAATTACATAAATAAGGCGCGGTAATACTTATTAATTCAGGTATATAACCATTTCATGCTGTATTTTGAACAATAGTTAAGCATTGTTTTTTGTAATTGAAATGCTCGATAGACTTACCTCCACGTGGTTCACCCTGGACAACATATACTCATACAGTAAGAAAGTCTATTAACAGGCAATTGACTTCAAACTACTATGATCCAACTGAATGTCATATTCGACCACTTCCTCAGTACTCACCTTGCATTTTCTCTGCTTTTGTGTCTGTCTATCTCTTTTACATCTGTGTCTCACTCTTCTGTTCCCCTCTCAACTTTTTGCGACTGATTTTCCCTCCCTCTGTCAACTGAAGGGTTAATGGTTACTATCACAAAGCTTGCCATTTTATATAAATAAATGTTATTGTGCATTTCAATTCCTTATAAAGGCTTTACGTATTTGGAGCTTATCCTTTTGTGCAAGAAAAAATATTGTCCATGTTAAGCTCAAACTGATAAGATGACACTCTTGAAGCTTACATTCATTTGATTCAACTTACGTTACCATATTACTTCTTTATTATAAGTAGGATAATACTTCTGCTTCAGAAAAAAATGAAGACGAACAAGAATCAGTATTATGTAAGATTGTAATTTGTAATTTTAAATCGGTATGAAAAAACTGTGTCTTTTTGCGATATATATTCCGTCATATTGGTAATGGGAGCGTTGTGATAATTGTCCTTATACAGATTGGAACCTAGAAAGCAGCTTAAACTAACCCAGATTCAGTAAAATTGAGCGGCATGACTGATGCACTCTACCGCCAAGGTGCATTTAATGCAAAAAACTTCATTTCGGGAAAAAAAGGTAATTCCCAT